AGGCCCACGCTGCTCGAGTCAGTGCGGCTGCTGTACCAGGGCATGCTCCGCACGCTGCTTGTGCTGCTGCACGACTTCCCGGAGTTCCTGTCGGACTACCACCTGAGCTTCTGCGACGTGATCCCGGCGGCGTGCATCCAGCTTCGGAACCTGATTCTCGCGGCCTTCCCCCGCAGCATGCGCCTGCCAGACCCCTTCACGCCCAACCTGAAGGTACGTCAGTCGTTCCCCGCTTTAAGGACAGGCGTCTTTGGTCAACTCCCCTCTTAAACGAAATTATATCTCTGAAGCAGGGTACCCCGCAGATACACAATGTAGCGAGGATGCGGGGGTACCGGTCCTAAGGCCACTTCCCTGCGTTACGGAGACTTTCAACAACAAAAACCATGGGTACCATGGGTGTTGTTTGTGCGGGGTCGACTGCTGTACGGGGATAGAGAGATCTGCTGCAGGCTGGTACCGTGCTTGATATCGATCGTATCATGTCGCTAGTCACCGGTGCCGTTACTGCTGTTGATGCCTTCACGGCTGCCGCTGTTGTTCAGTTTTCTTCTTGTTTTTTTTATGTCATTGTGAAGTTAGTTTTCTGTTGGATTTTTTTTTTCCCTCCCTTTCTAGGTGGACCTCCTGCCGGAGATCGCCTTGCCCCCGAGGATCCTGAGCAACTACGTGGCGGCGCTGTCGCACAACAACATCAAGCAGGACCTCGACAAGTTCCTGCAGACTCGCCACCAGCCGGCCAACTTCCTCACGGAGCTGCCGGCGAAGCTTCGCCTATCGGCGCAAGAGGTGCGTGCGTGCGTGCGTGCGTGCGTGCGTGCGTGCGTGCGTGCGTGCGTTTTTCTCATGCTCACCTCGCGTCGGCAGATGCACGCCGAGCAGGAGGAGCATCGATCGGTGTACGGTTCACGCGCGTGCTATTTGTGGCTGGGGTTACTTATGCGTGTGTGGTGTAATGCGTTTTGTGCCCGAAGCGAGCTTCTCAGTGCAGAGATCATTGTTAAGTTATTGCCGGTCGCGGTGATGGTCGGGGCGGGGGGGGGGGGGGNGGGGGGGGGGGGGGGGGGGGGGGGGGGGGGGGGGGGGGTACTCATAGTCGTGCATGCCGTAGTCGTTAGACCATTGACCTCGTATCACTACAAAGCCGGTACAGAGCACGCCGGGTTTTCACCGGACCAGGCTCTCACATAACCAAGCGCGAAGCGCGGTGTGCGTGTGTGGGGAGTTGCGCCAAATTGTACCCGCGGAAGAGAAGAGTGTGGGAGCTGCCATCCGCCAGGTAGCGTGCACGCCGATGGCGCGAGGCTTTTGACATGGTGCTGGCACCGATCCCCGCACTCACCCATTGACTAACGTCCCGGTGGAAATTTGTGGCTCCGTATCCCTTCCTTGCTGACACCTCTCGTGTGTGCATTGCATGTGTACGTGCGCTCTCGTTGCGTGCGGTGTTTTTTTGTTGACTGCTGTGTTTTTGTCAGGCGGCGCACACGGGCATGACGTACAACGTGCCGTGCATGAACTCCCTCGTTGTTTACGTGGGGAGCCAGGCTATCCAGCAGCTCAATAACAAGACCCCCATCATCACGCACTCTGCTCCGATGGACGTGTTCCACCAGGTTTGCTACTGCTGGGATGCCTTTGTGTTTTTGCTATTTAGCTACTGCTTGTAGCGCTCTGGCTGCAGGTCAAAATGGATCAGTGAGAGCAGGACTTGGCGCAACGGTTGGGTGTGGTTGAGGCTGGAGACGAAGACCTCGCGTGAGTTTGTCCCGTGAAGGTTGTTGTGATGGTTGTTCGGCGATGCCGTTGTTGTAGAGGTGGCGTTCGTGTCTGTTCCCCTTGCTCTCTTGCTCAGTTGAGTTGGGGTACCCGCCAGCCGCATTTTTTTCGGCTAAGACCGTTGTTCTATTTTTTGCGGCGTCTTGAGCGTGGTGTAATAACACCACGCTCTGTGTCTTCCCGACGACCTTCGTCATCACATGACTTCTGTAATTGCTCATCGCTCCCCCCGCCCCCCCGGATGCCGATGATGACGGAACAGTTGGCCAACAAGCTCGACCCCGAAGGCAGGTACTTCTTCCTCAACGCCATCGCCAACCAGCTCAGGTACCCCAACCAGCACACGCACTACTACAGCTGCGTGCTGCTCTACCTGTTCGCGGAGGCCCAGTCGGAGATGGTCCAGGAGCAGATCACCCGCATCCTACTCGAGAGGCTCATCGTGCACCGCCCCCACCCGGTAATTGATTGATTGATTGATTGATTGATTGATTGATTCGTGTTTCGGTTTTTCGTGTTGACCACATGTGCTGTAGCCAGCCTGAATCGCTCGCGTAGTCGGCTTGTTCGTCGGTTTTTGGTCATGCATCCAATCATCCGTCTTGGAAGTCGTTCAAAACTGATCTCACTCTCTCTCGCTCCGCGTGCTCCCGCTCTCCCGCTGGCCGCACTGCTGGCCTCCACTATCGACCGATATTTACCGGTGGACGGGCCGGATTGTGATGAACGACTCGCGGTCAGTGGGGGCTCCTGATCACCTTCATCGAGCTCATCAAGAACCCCCGCTACAGCTTCTGGAGCCACAGCTTCACGCACTGCGCGCCCGAGCTCGAGCGCGTGTTTGAGAGCGTGGCGCGCAGCTGCATGACCCCCGGGGGTCCGGCAGCGGGCACCGGACCGGACGAAACCGTGGCGTCCGGGCAGGCTCAGTAGATGCCTGCAGACCACGCCGTTCAGGGGTGGGAGGAAACAGTAGTAGAGGATAAAATTCTGCTGCTGTGGAAGAGTCTCGTCTTTCTCTTTTACGTTTGTTTCTGGGGTGGTTTGTGCTGAAAACCCACGGAGGTAATCTTACGATTTGTGTTGTTGTCCGTCGCCCGCCGTGGCGTGGGTATGAACAGCGGAGAGTATTGTTGTCGTTGTTGTTGCTATTCCTGCTGTTGTTCTTCCGCTGGTGCTGGTGCTGGTGCTGTTTACCCGCAGGCGGTAGGCCTTACAAGCGACGGGCTTGGCTAGCGGGTTTGGGTACATCTTGTGTTGGATTGGGCCTGCCTCTTCTCGTTGCATGTGGCGCCACGAATGAAAGTTTGCAGCATTGTACTTGTAGTGGGATTGTTTGTCGGGAGAAGGGTCCCGCCGGAAGAAGTTGCGTCAGGGGGATTGTGACGAGGGTAGCAGGGGGAGAGTGTAGACTGTCTTGGAAGTTTCAATTGTTTGCGATGTTGGACAGAGGGGGGGCTGACGAGATTGGTCTAGAATAGTACAAGAATGTATGATCTCGGCGGTTGAAGGATTGGTTGACGGGATACGATCGACGGGAGGAACTTTCAGCGAAAACTTTGGAAGTTGACGGATACATTGGTTCACTTTTTGAGGGGCGGCTTTGGGCAAGGCCAGAATAAGGACGAGGATTGGGCGGGGAAGCAGGGCGTCATGTGTGTTGGCCTCCTTTTGCAGTATATCTTTTTGACCGCCCGGTGTCAATGAGTTCATGATCCCTCCACCACAGCAGGGTTTGGCACATCGGACGGGAGTTTCAGCTGTCGGAAATGTCTCTGTCGGTTGAGATCCCGATTGCTTTCTATCTTCCTGTGTTCTGTGGAAGGTTCAAGGTTGGTAGTGGAGGTTGGCGACGTATTGCACTGAGTGGCTCGAAGGACACGCACCGTCCAAAATGTGGGGTTGGACTTGAAGCGCGTTATCAGGAGCGATGGACGTGATGCTTGCTAAATGTAAATCGGTTAGACGCCGAGGGTAGGAGGGGCCAGTGCATGCAGTAGTGACAGATTTTCGCGTGGCTGTTGTTGTTGTGGCCGCACGTGGTTCTGCCGTTGCCGTCATTTCGTAGTGTACCCGCCCATCTTTCATCTTGTGGGATAGCCTGTCCGGGATATTTGCTAGGACGCGATTTGCTTGTATGCCTCATATGTACGTTTATCTTCAACAGCAGATAGACATGATCTGAAGTTGGAAGTTGAGTGGCTGTGACTGGTGGAGTTGAAAGTGGAGGGTTGCAAAGTTGAGGGAACGGCAGTATATTTGCGAGAGCGCGAATACGAGCTCTGTGTACGATCTCATCATGTACGTGTTCCCGAAGCATGCGGTCAAGCTGACGGGATGATAATATATTTTTTTCTTGGCTGTGTTGAAATAAAATGCATCTTCACCGACAGAGGACACGGTGCTGCTGCTATGATACCCGCATCACACATGCATCTCTGCGGATCCGTGCATACTGCAGCTGGAAACCCCATAGTGTTTGCACGAAATAGCCGGAGCGGTTAAGTGTCGGTCAGTTCTTCACGCACTACCTTTTAACTTACGCTGTCTTGAGGACGACGCGTCTTCGATTGTTGAGAATAGAGGAAGGTGTTCTTTTTTTTTCTTCCTGCGCTGCGCAGCGAGAAAGCGGCCGCCGTTGCCCATCACAACACTCTCTCTACTCCAATTGTGCCCTTGCACAACTGAGAGAGCAGCGGTCAAATTTGCAAGGTATGCTGCGCCTCGCAAATTAAACTCCTGCCAAGAAATGAGTCCACTCGCACCCTCTTGGCAAGGATTACATGATCATCGGGGTCATCACCTTGGGAATCTCAAGAAAATCTCTTCGTGTATGTACTTGCGTTTGTATGCGTCTCTACTGCTGCTGTACGTGTCTTGACCATTACCCGAGGGTAGTACATCTGCACTCCGAAGCATAGATTGAACGCTCGTTGTTTGTCCATGAGCGCAGCTACGCATACAATAATAGGCAGACAAGCTAAACACCGCCTGCGGCGAAGACCTTCGCCCGGTTCGTCGGAGCAGTCTCGTCCCGTCCTACAACAAACTGCTTGCTGTATCCCAACGTGCGGCAGCGAGCAAACAATTTGCATCCTATTTAATTTTTCGCCTTTTTTGTTTGATTTTTTTCGATTTATATTGCGCCCGCGCCGGTACGTCTTGTTTTTTTTTTTTTTCTTTCCCCCCTCCTCCCAGGACTCCCTTTCATACAACCCTAATACCCTCCGTGCAAGTTCTCTCTCTCACTCTGTCTCTCTTGTGCCGTGTGTGCCCGCACAACTCCCGTGCTCTCACGCACAGGCGGCCGGGAACGAGAGGCACAGACACACGGACCGCGGGTGCTTGGTTTTGTCGTTGCGAAGCTTCGCGGGAATAACAGACAAAAGTCGATCTAGAATCGAACTGGAGGTAGAGAGGAGGGGGGAGCGCTACAACTTGTTTGGGCAGGACACGGGTCCGCTCCAACACGGCAGGAACGATAGGTAGCAACGGAGCGACGCGCGCAGATGAGGCTGATGGGGCCGGAGGGCGGAAGGGTAGATGTGGTGGCGGCGGGGGTAGGAGTTCACGAGGTATCTGCGAGCCCTCCCGGCAGCGCGAACACCAACCCTCCCCCTTCACCGTCTCTCTACGACATTGGCGACGATGACGCAACGCCGCGGCAGCAGTGGTCGCCCGTGCACACCGTCGGGGGCAGCGGCGGCGGGTCGAGGAAGCCTTCGCGCACCCGGGGTCATCACGGGGGCTCCTCCGGCGGCGGAACCTTCGCCGGCGCCTGTGGCGGCGAGCCGCGGGCGCCCGCGGGGAAGCGCAATAGTGGAGCCGGCGACTCGACGTGGGGCGGCGGAGGAAGCGCGCGAAATGGGAACAACAAGGGCGGCAGCAGCAATATTAGCAATATCGCGTTGAACCAACAAAAGCCCCGCGTTGCATCGCCGGACTCCCCCGTCCTGCGCGTAGACCTCGAGCGCCTGGACCTGAGCGTGCTCGCACTGGGGGAGGAGGGTGGGCCGACCATCCCCACTGACGGCCGCGCGGGCGGCGGTGCCGCCGCGAGCAGCGGCTGCCGCAACAACATTGGCGAGCTCTTGCACTCTCGCACTTTCTGCTCGGAACCGGGCGGGCGACCGCGGTCGCTGGGGGGCAGACCCTCGCGCGCGCACGCGCTGTTCGTCGCTCCGGGGAAGATAGGCACCGGGCCGGCCTCTCCCCCTTCCAGCTACTCGACGCACTCGGAGAGCGGGGGCTTCGCGAGCCCCACCGTGCGGCTCGCGAGCCCGTTCGGTCTGTCGTCGGCGGGGGCAGGGAAGGGAGAACATCACCACCACCAGCAGCAGCAGCAGCAACAGCAACAGCAGCAGCAGCAACAATTTCACCCCCAGCAGGGCCGCGTGAAGAAAGGGCACTGGAAGAAGGGCAAGCCGATAGGGGTCGGCAGCTGCGGGAACGTCTACCTGGGGATGAACGAGGACACCGGGGAGCTTATGGCGGTCAAGGAGATCACGCTGGAGACGAAGGACAGGCTGCTCACGAGCCTCTACAACGAGATCCAGGTAATTACATCATACACATGCGGCCACCCGCCGTGCACGAACAAACAAACGTACGGAAAGCGGCGCTTGTGCTGCTCATTTCAAATATTATTTGGGCGATTTGTGGAGGTGACTTTTGTACTCGCCCGCTCTGTCTGTGCAATACATATATATATGTAGGATACGTGGCTTGGTGTGGCATCATTTTCTCCGACACAAAAATCGGGCCGGCTTGATGCTGCCGCCCTTCGTCCTCACAGATTTTCGTTTTCAGCATACGAACGCACCCCTGCGGCGTGTGTATAGGTAGCTGTGTTGGTTGCGCGTGCCGAAGCTATCCCTCAGTTTCTTTGTCCTGCTGTATTTACTTCAGCGTGCCGTTGGATCAACCTTGAACAGCGGCCTCCAGCACCCTTCAAGTAAGAAGATTTATTTTTTTATATCTTACAAGCAGGGTGAACAGAGGGTGTGTTTTGGGATGGTTGGCCGCCTGTGGTCACCGCGGCGGCGTCCGCGTCAGTCGTTTCAACAGCGATGGTATAAGGTTCTGAGCGGAGACTGGGACGATTTTCAAGGTGTTACGACAGCACGTGTGACGACAATAACAGCAACCCGGTAGACTCGAGTGGATGTTGTAATAGTTTTTTTTTTTAATCGAACACGCGCACAAGGACAGCAGCAGCAGTCGGTGTTGGCTTTTTTGTTCTCCTTTTGAAGGATCTGCGTCGCTTGGGAAGCAGAGCACCCGCCTGATGATGGCTGGCTAGTTCGGGCGTTTCACTAGGGCCGATACGTGACAATTTGCGCTGACGACACTAAACCGTGGGTACCAAGTGTTAACCTGTGCTCTCCTCGTTCTCGCACCATCCTGGCCCGAACGCAGACTGCTGTTGTTGCACGAACAACGGCCGCGGATTTTACGCGTGAACGCAATGCTCTCCGTGACGTGGTAGACAGTTAAAATGCGCCACATGCATGCGCTGAACACGTGTGGGCCAAACGTTTGATGCACCACGCGTTTTGAATGCCATACTTCAAGAAACGTTTTCGTTGTTTCCATGACGCCCCCTCTTGAAGTCCCAAATACGAACCGTAACAATTTTTCGTTGTGTTTGGTTCGCTGTGGTCTATATACCTAAGTACCATCAATTTTGATACTTGAACCTGCTCCATCGCACGTGTGGATGGCTGTATGGCGTTGTTCACACTCACCGCAGCCGCGAAATTTTGCGCCCAAGGATACCGAAACGCTCAAGAGCCCCCATCCTCTTTCTCTTCCCTTCAGTCCCCGACCCCGCCTCTGCCGGTCTCTGGGTTTACCGTTCCCCTGCTATGGAAACGTAAAATCCTAACCCAACCTCCCCGATTGCATTCTGTATCGAACGCGTTGACAGAAAAGCTCTGCCAATGCTGCTGACCCGCCCCTTACACACCCCACCCCCGCGCCCGCGCGCGATTCACGCCACAGGTGATGCACAAGCTTGTCCACCCTCACATCGTAGGCTACCTGGGCGCGGAGCTGCAGGACAGTAAGCGGAAGCTGTGCATCTTTCAGGAGTGGGTCCCCGCGGGATCGCTGCACTCTCTACTAGGACAGTTTGGAGCCCTCAGCGACGCGATGACGCGTAAGTACACCCGGCAGGTGCTGGAGGGCCTCGTGTACCTGCACGCAAATCGCGTGATTCACAGAGACGTCAAGTCGAAGAATATTCTCGTGGACGACAGGGGAAACGTGAAGGTGGGCGCTTCGGCCGGTGTGAATGGTTGGCGGGNTTGACCGCGCGTCCTCGAGAGGACGGAGCATAGTTCCCACAGGACCGATCACCGATGGCCAATCGTTCCTTCCTACTTCGCCAAATATGGCTCAAAAATGTCTTCTCTAGTCTGTGCATCATAACGATACCCCTTCCCGCCTTTTCGAACCAACTCCTTCACCCCAGTACAGCTACCGTCCTCTCCTCTCTATTCCATGCCTCGGACATCTCCCTGTACCTCCCTTGTATTTTTTCCAGCTCATTCATGTACACTTTTCTCTCCTTGTTGCACAGCCGACATTCCGCGACCACATGAACACGGGGAGGGGGGGCGGGGGGGGGGGGGGGGGNGGGGGGGGGGGGGGGGGGGGGGGGGGGGGGGGGGGGGGGGGGGGGGGGGGGGGGGGGGGGGGGGGGTTGGCCCGGGCAAAGTATCCTTGAGGTACAAAACGCAAATCTTTCTATGGTTTTGATGAGGACGGTGCCATCGCCGACTGCTGCTGTTTGGCTCCCTGCCTGCTGCGGTAGTGTCTCGTCCGGGGTGTTTGACTGGAATGTATGAATGACGTCTCTTACTCTCGCCCTCGAAACGTTGCGCACCGAAAATCTCCACCTCTCTTTCTCGATGGGTCATTTTGTTTTTATCGTGCCATGACACAACATCCCACCAACCGGGGTAGGGAAAGGTAGCCGCGACGATGAGCCTCACCGTTTCCAACGTCGAGCATCGTATTTTGTGCTCTTGATTGATTGTCCTCTCTCCCTATCGTTTACAGCTGGCGGACTTTGGCTGCGCGCTGGTTCTCAAGGACGACAACGGCGACGGGGTGGAGATGTCCATGAAGGGCACCCCGCTCTTCATGGCGCCGGAGATGCTCCTCAAGCGCAAGTGCGGCAAGCGGGTGGACGTGTGGTCCCTGGGCTGCGCCGTGCTCGAGATGGTCACGACGCGCCCGCCGTGGGCGGACACGTTCAAGCACCCGGTCGAGATTATCGAGCACTTCAGCGAGAACCCAGGGCCGCCGCCCCTTCCGGAGGACCTGTCGCCGGCCCTGCGGGAGTTTCTCCTGTCGTGCTTCACGTGGGAGGCAGGGCGACGCCCGACGTCTCACCAGCTCATCACGCACGAGTATCTCCTGCGGGACCGGCGGGTGTCCGCGGGAGGGGGCGGGGACGGTAACGGAAGCTCGGGCAGTGGAGAGGACAACGACATCCCGCTGGAGGCCATGGGCCGGGCCCCGTTTATGACGCGCATGCGCCGGTGCAGCAGCGCGACGCTGCCGGACCTGCTGCAGCGGTCGCACGCCTTCGGTGGCCGTGGCGGCGGCGGCGACCCGCTGGCAGCGTTTGGCACCGCTCCCTCGGGGACCTTGCGGCCGCCATCTCCGCGGTACGGCCCGGGGGGCGTCGCGGCTGCGAATAGCAAGCGCACCCCCACCCGCCGGCGGATGTACACCGAAAGCAGCAGCGGCAGCTGTAGCAGCGCCATGCCTCCCCCCGAGGGCGGCGGGAGCGCGAAGCCGTCAGCGGCGGCAGCGGTGGCGGCGGCGGTAGCAGAAGCAACGGCGGCGGGGGGCGGCACGGTTGGCGGCGTTCGTCAGGCGGCTGGGGGTAGCGCGCCGGGGACGGGTCTGGTGAGAAGAGCTTCCATGCCCCACGCCGGGAGGTCACCCCCCGTATCCCCGGAGAAGCCGAGGCGGCCCGGCAGAGGCTCTTCGCCCGGGCGGTGCTCGAGCGCGGTGATGATGCAATATTACCACCACCACCACCACCACCACCTCCTCCAGGCGGAGGAAGAGAGGCTGGGCTCCGGCCCGGTCGGGCACGCCCGGCTGCGTAGCATGGGGGATGGCATCGCGGGCACCGGGTTCGGTGCTGCGACCAGCGGCAGCAGCAGCAGCAGCGGCAGCGGCGGCGAGAGGGGAGTCAGCGGCAGCAGCGAAAGCGGAGGGCGAACAGATTTGGAACCGCTTGTGTCTAGATCCTCGTCGGGCAGGCGGGGAGCGGTGCCGGCGGGGGGGGGGGGGGGGGGGGGGGGGGGGGGGGGNGTTTTGGGGGAGGCACGGAGGCGGGGTTATTGCGGGACGGGTGGGTCAGGGCGAAACGACTGGGGCGGCAGCAGCTTCAGCCTGTACCGTGGGGGGGGGGGGGCGGGGGCGGGGGCGGGGGGGGCGGGAGAGGGACATGTGATGCGGAAACCGGCGCCGAATCCGACGCTGCCGCCGATTGTCCGCGAGCTCTTGGGAACGCTGGAGCAAGGCGGCGGGTTGACAGATGGGGAGGGGGGACTACTGCTACACTCGGGGGACACGCCCCCCCCGACGGTGCGGCCGTTAGAGCGGTCGGCCGCAGGGCAACCCGGGCAACGGGGATGGGGGACTGCAGGCGGCGGCAACGCAAACCCGACAGCGAAGGCGACCTTGCTGCAGCAGCGTAGCAAGGCAGCGGGCGGCGGCGGTGCCGGTAGAGGCGGGGAATGGGGAATGTTGGACTCGCGGGGCGGCGGGGGGGGTGCTTCTCGACAAATTGCCAACCAGCCGGGAGAATAAAGTTTATTTCTTTGCCCTTGTTCTTTTTTTTTCATTCTCAGGTGAGGGCTTGGGGTTGGGATCGACTATGAGTGACCAACCCGCCCCCGCCTGTTCAATTTACCGGCGGATGTATACAACAAGGCTGTTCGGATGTCGGCCGGAATGGGGTTGGCAGGATTGTTGCCCCCTACTGTCTCCTACTGTCTGTGATGTGTTGCAAGGGGGTTGAACGCATTGTCTCCTGTCGATCGCTCTTTGTACGAATTTATTTTTCTTGAGAGGAACTGCTGCTGCTGTCTGTCTCTTCCAGAGCCCGGCGACCTCCTAGAGTCTTGGCTTGATGGCAGCATGCATATTCAAGGAAGGGGAGGAGGGCGGCGAAGGGGGGAAGGGGGGGGGCACAACGTAGCCGCCGCCCCCTCTCTCCCCCCTCAACTATTTCCAACCCATGTCTCAAGAGCGGTGGGTGCCAGTTTTTGTAGACAGCCGTGTGTTGTTCGTTGTCGTTAGTTTGTGGATGTCACCATGAAGCGAAGTGTTGGTTGCAGGGGAAGGGTACAGTAGTAGCACGCAAGACGGGTGGCTAGGCATCCATCCGCCCGCGTGTGTGGGAGCTTCGGGGTGCTGCTTTCTTTCGGAGCGCACATCAACGTGCTCGCTTTGCAGCGAAGGACACTTGTGCACGGTTCGCGCGGGTCGTGTGTGTGTATATGCGGGGCGGGCTGGGGGTGGGGAGGGAGGAGGGGTTGGTTGTTCAATGGTGCTCTTTTGGTCTACGCATATGCGTTTGCCCAGATAATACCGTCCGCGTCGATGTGCAGGTAGCCGCAGTCCATTCTTCCCGTCCTTCATTCCAGTACAGTAAACGATATGCGCAAAGGATTCGGCGGTGCCCCCCGAAAGCACGGGTGTAGTGCCACTGTGGCTACCTCCTGAAGGGTGTGTTGTGGTTGTGTCTCGTTTGTGTCTTGTGAGTGTATTACCCGCGCGGATGTGAATGTGTGTGTCTGTGTGTGTGTTTTCTCCCTCTCTTGGTGTCGAGTCGGGAAGGGAGGGAGTGTGCCGGCCATAGAATCTCACCCTTAACGCGCAAAACAAGCAGGTAGGCAAGTAGGCAGGCGTTCTCGAGGCAGTCGGCGGGCGGCGTTTGGTTTTGGTGCGGGCGTTATCGCCACACACCCAGGCTTTCATTTGTTGTTGTTGCCGAGTGGCCCCGCGTGTCAGAGCAAGCCTTGTTCTTCCGTGTGGGGGATGGGGTAGGTTGGTTGACTGGTGTTTGGATTTCTTGATTGGCGAGCGACCCTCGTGCGCCGGTTCGACTTACGTAGGAGTACGTTTGATGGTTGTTGGTGAGGTGGTCGTGGTCGACGCCGCCGGCGTGCGTAGGTCCGACTTGAACTGGATCGCGTGTTCGCTACCACCTCCTGGATCCTGTATAGCTGGCGGCTGGCCCCTGACGTTCTGTTTTTTCTGTTTTGTTCCGAAGGGGGTTCGAGAGAGTCGGACGAGAACAAACAACACGTGTGTGTTGTCTGTTGGCAATGGAGGATGTAGACGTCAACTATGCCGAGCCGACCGACGTGGCCTTTCCCCGCGGCCCATATGCTCCTCCTCCTTTTTCCTTTAAGAGGGGAATCAAAAACACTTGCTTGTCTCTTGATATTTGTTGACTTTGTTAGGCATATTCCCCTATTGAGTAGTAATAAGGGGGCGGCGGCGCTTGTTGGGCATGCCGAGCCCTTCTTATCTTATCTCGTGGTGTGTTGCTGGTTTTTTCATACGGTTGTTGGCAGGGGTATTGGTGATGTTTGATGCAGGCGGGCCTGGTCCATAATTGCATTGTTCGTGGTAAGGGAGTTGGATTATGTGGCGTTCCCATATGTCTAGAAAGAGGGTATTAGGGGGGGGGGGCGTCCGCCGCTGAAGCGGTTGATTTGGGTGAAAACGCTATCCTGAGAGAGCGGGAGGGAAAACATGGTTCGATCGCGTCGGGGTATCCTGGTGCATCATGTCGCAAAACGTACACGGCTTCTCGTCCCTTCTGAAAGAGTTCCAATAGTTTAGGTGCAGGCACTCGTGCTGTGCGGAGGGGGACCACTCTTCAAAACCTCTCCACCGGCGGTCGCAAAGAGGCAGGCGAACATGTTTTTTATTTTGTGGCCGGCCCTGCCTTCCGTTTGTGGTTGGTTCCAGCAATTCATGTAAAAAACAAAAATCATCGGAAAGCCGTATCCACGCTCTTTTCATACGAGCAGAACGTGCTCTTATGTGTTGCTTTGCTCTCTCAACAAAGAGAAGGAAGGAACTCGAGGGCCGGGCATGCCGTGAGAGCACCGACATGGATCAACAAGGCGGGTCAGTTGCGACAAGATTTGTGGGAGAAGGCTTGCACCCAATATCATCGTGTCCCTCCCTAGTACTGGAATGGAAGCCCAAATGGGGACACTTTGGGGACAGCAGTAAAAGCTTGTCCGTGGTTCGTCATGATGCTCCGCTGCGTGAAACGTGCTTGGAAAACCTTGACTTGGCATGCTTGAGTGCGAGGTGATACGCTGTGTGATATGCTGCCGTTTGATGCATGTGTGCCTCTCCTCCTGAGCGTCTGACTCGCTGTGCACAGTCTCCCAAGCCGCGGGTCCCCTTTCTGGTAAAACTGTACACCAAGAGTACTGGAAAAAAATGCCGACTTGGCTCCGGTGTGGGAGCTTCCCCAATTTTGGGACACTTGCCATACTGAAGCGACGTCAGCCCTCGGCCCTCGGGACTGCTGTACAACCTGTCCCAATGAGCGGACGCGATCTTTTCTGGACAAATAACCTGTATCTAACTGGGTACTAGGTTACATCGATGATTTACACGTGCCGGATGGGGAAAAAGTAAGCTTGCACAATAGTCGTTTCATAGAAGAGGCAAAAAATCCACACTACAATAAATTGAACCCGAAAACCATCGGCACTAATGAAACCAAAATCAATCGTCCCAATTTTTGTATAGTCGACTCCGCTTTAAAGACGCACATGATTTTTCCCAAAAAAAAAGCGTCCTGAAAGCGGGGTTGCGTCCTTAAAATGCAGGGGACGATAGCTCACCATCCCCGGCACCAATGGAGGCATGCTATACCTCAACCTACGCGTCTTTTGCTAATAAGGAGGAAGGGGGTAGTACGAAAAGTCAGCATTGCCGAGGCGACTGGCAACCATTTGTTGACGTCGAACATATTTTTTCTACAATTGAATGAATGAGATCTATTATTACAGCAGGCGGGGACATAAGAAGAGTAAACCAGGGTATTAACGAACACCCCCCCTTTTTCAAATGCACGTCCCTCGGCGCACCATCCGCGGAGACCCCCAATTAATTTTGTTTTTCAAATTTGCAGCTTTCCGTTGGCTTTCGTTTGAGCACCTCCGCGTGTCGATCGGGTCAAGCACTCCCGAGATAGATATAGCACAGCCCTCACCCACACCCCTGATGTGGGGCATCTTTGCCCTTTTCGGGGTCCTGTTGGCGCGAGGGTTGGCTTAATTAAGCGTTCGTTGATTGGGTGGTTTACTCTACGTGTTGAAAACAACTACAGGACACCAGTTTGTACTTGGCCAACTAATAATGTAAAGTCCAAGTAGAAATAAATATACTTCTATTATTTATCTCATTCTTGTGAAACAAAAAAAACGAGCGTATTCGAGCGTCGCACCGAGGAACACCAGTCAGTACGTATCACTGTCCCGGCGGGGATCAAAAGCTACCTGGATGGCTTTTCCTTCGAAGTCCACATAGATAGGTCTAGAACTATACATCGCGAAGACTTCCCTGAACCTTCCCCCGCGGCTTGGCTCTTCTACGGCTCTGTTGAGTTTCATAAATATTATTTAGTAGTAAACGAATGAACGGCTTCTTCGAAAGAAGGTACTGCGTCTCACGGTACTCGCCACCCCTTCCCTTCGCGTACAAATAAATACAGATACATTGTAGTGCCCGCAGTTAAGAAAAATTCTGTCAAGAAAAAAGGCTCAAGCTTGTGCGAAAAATAAGAAAAAAGGGCTAAGAAACATAGCTCAATCTCGGCTACTACAACGTTAGAAACGCCCCAATAAGAAACATCATGGTGCCATACCCCCATGACATCAGAAATCTGCGGTGCTCCCACCCCCCTACCAAGCTGAACAGACGTGCCAACAGCATATTGGTGAAATTGAAAGCGAAGCATCTGATTGAGAGCGAGATTGCGCGATGCGCTGCAGCTGGACTACTGCTGAGCAGTGGAGCTTGCTGTGTAGCTTGAATTGAAGGGCCAGCCCGTAGCTACAAGCAGATACCCTGGTCATCCTGTGGGAGTCTCTCGATGTGGAGTTACAGCGGCGAGCAGAAGAGCCCACCGCCCGAGGCCAAACCGCCCTGCAACAGCAGTTTGAGGCAGGAATAGCCAATCTGGGGAAATATAGCAACTTGTCTTGCTCCTAACTGCAGCATCCGATGACGATAACACGCATATGCTCTTGACGCTGCTGATGAGACCTTCAATTTGCGCCGCTTCTTGGAAGAGCCCGCCCGCTACTTCCCAAGAATTGGCAAGAGGCGTCTGGCCCCGAGTTTTGAATTTTTTGGCTCTCTCAATTTCATGCTTCGCTCTCAATTTCACCGAATGTGCACTGCTGTAGAAAGGGGGCAGAGTCCCCCCCCCCGCGCGCGCGCCCCTGCTGTTCACAGTGAGTGTTGCACTGTACTGCCACACATTGCGATCAACCATATGCTCTCCGCTGTTGTACGGGTTTGACGGCACTCTCCACCACCTCTCTTGAGGGTTTGATGAGATGTTGATTGTCCTCAGAGATCAAAAGACAGGAAAAAGGAGATACGATGTAGACTACTCGTTGTAGCCTAAGGAACAAGAGAATCGGGAGGATGCGACAGTCGAAAGTAAGAAGAAATGTCATTCACGAAAATGGACGACTTGGGCCGGTACGTCGACCCAAATTTTGGGATTGAGGCTCGACTCGATCTTGACGCTGTCTGTAGGATAGCGTCCTCCAACCGAGAGATAACCTCGCCCTCGGCGAGGGACGAGGTTATGCACGACTTTTTTTTTGGCGGCATCAGATGACCGCCCGTAGATGGGAGGAATCTATCCATACAACACCCACTTACAGCTGCAGCAGCATACAGCTCGCTACTTCTGCTGTCTGTGCGTCGCTACTTCTGCACTCACTATGGGTGCGTGGTTCGTGCAAAAGAGCGGCCCGAAGGCCCGCCAGCACGACACAAAAAAAGAGGTACGCGGCAGTAAAAATGGGGGTACCCCACTATCGTACATTCGGACGGGCCCCTGTTGCTGAGCAAAGAAGTTGCCTTTGAGGGAGTTTCCTTAACGCGAGCGTCCTTAGAGCGGGGTCGACTGTATCAACACACACAAATTCGACAGTACACGCCGCTGGCTTGTTTATGAAACAAAAACAAGGCAAAAAGCCGTCAAGAACATCCTTGCTACGCCTACTCAATCCAACAACGCGTCATGCTGTTGAACACTCATGATCTCTTTTCTTCTCTTTGAGGCGGTGACCTTGCGATCAAACCACCGGAACCACCCATCTAAATTAAGCCAACAGAGATCGAGGGGGGGGGAGAGCGCGCGCGGTTAGGCCGCACTAAACATCCATTCACCTGACTTGAAAACACGCACGCAAAAATTTCGTCGTTGTTCTTTTAGTCCCTGGACGGGAGCGCAGGCGTTGCTGTCATGGATCTCAGATTGCGTCTCGAAAATAAACACACTTGCACGTATGCATACCCCCATGAAAGGCCACGCACCCTAACGTCTACAAACAAAAGCGAGGACAACGTGTGGGCTTCGAGGTGGACGTTTTCTCTCTAGGGCACGTGAAGAGAGCAGGCAGCCAGCTACACCCAGGAGAGGGGGCTCGATCGCACCGCCCGGGCAGCTAGCTGTTCACGAGCCTCACGCAATCGGGCACACAGGTGGTGTACGCTGTCTACACTCTACAACGCCCACAATTGAACATCGCACACAAGTGTTCATGACAAAAGAAAAAATCACACATGCACGCAAACATACACCCCACCCAGTCAACAAGGACAAAACGTCGCCCGCCCCCCGGCGACCCAAAAAAAACTCAAGGTCTCTTTGAAGTCAAGAGGCCAACCACCTCCTCCAGAGCTGCCTCTCTTGGCAGCTATGCACTTTTTTTTTTTGTCTTCACTTCAAATCAGCGCTCACAGCACTGGTGCCGTTTACCCCAACCCGTGGTCACACAGAAGAGCCCCTCTCTACTCTCCCCTCGTGCGGTACTTTGCCTTCGATTTTTAACGCGAGAAGAGTTCAGCACTCTCTTCCCTCTGTGTACACACGAACTAGCGCTATCCACTGGGCCAGGAGCGGAAGCGAGAGAAAAACCCACTTTGCAAGAAAAGCTCGCTTACGCCGGGATTCGAACCCCTGACCTGACCTCTAGAAGGTTTCGAGGATACCAACTAGACCACCGGGGCGACCGGGTGTACAATACAAAGCAGCGACGACGGCAAGGCAGTGTGCCTCGATTTATGAGGTTCAACTACTTCGACCTTGAGACGATCGCTCCCTCCACTTCCTCTTCTTCCTCTTCCTCTTCCGCCCCCGGAACGGTGAACAGTCCCCCTCTACGCCTCATGGTCTCTTGGAACACCATCATTGCCACCGCTATCGAAACCTTTTTTCGCGAGTTAAACGGGAGATGGGGAGGGAGAGAGAAAGCAAACGAAAAAAAAAAAACTGGTGAGCGAAGGGAGAAATGATAATTAACGCCGAGAACCGTCCCCGAGGGAAAATGGAGGGAAGGAGACAGTCTGAACTAAGACCGTTGGACAAATTTCGGAATCGCAGAGATATAGCCCAGCCAGACAACAATCCTGGACTTGGGTTGACCGTCTGGACGGAGACGCGAGACACCACGGACGTAGTACCGAAAAGCAACAGCAACGACCAGGATCTCTCGCTGACAACAGATGCACAACAGAAGAAATCCTGCAGTGTCTGTCCAAGAGAACATTGGTTATGGAGCCGCAAAAGAGAGGAGGCGAACGCCATCCTGTGTCGTCTCCGCACCACTACTGCGTGGCATGCTCACCACGGTCATCTGGCCGTAGACCCGGGTGTGGATGAGCTTCTGGCTGAGCTTGAGGTTGCCCTCGTTGCGCATCGAGTACAAGATGCCTCCCACCGCCGGAACGCCCATTCCAACTGGGTGGAAAGATAAAAACCAACAACGGATATCGAACAAATAAGGGGGGGGGGGTTGGCGGGGGCATCGCAGAGGGAAGGGAAAGCGTTTCGTGAGGACGGTGCTGATGCGGTTGGGGAAAAAACAAAACACGCGTAGTACAGCAGCAGAGCACACCCTCCGAGCAGCAGGCACCACAAGGGAAGAGGAGGGAGGTGCTGGGAACCACCTTTGCGGGTCGGTCTCTTTTCCTCTACCAAAAACAAGTGCAGCAGCAGTGGCCCCGGAATAAAACCGGTAGAATAGTGCCCCGTAAGATGCCGGTGAAATCGTCGTCTGGCACAGATGGAATATTCAACTTGTTTCATACGCTGAATAATTCCGGTTGCCCGAAATACTGCCGGTGAAATCAACCAGATCGCACCGGCAATAAACTGGGACCACCGCAATACCTTGTCTTTGATCCGGAGGCTGGGCTATTGCGTCCAGTCCCCCTCCCCCGCGAGGTGAACAAAATGCTTTCGGATTCTTTCTGTGTTCGTCCCACTGGGGGACCGCAGGAAGCCTTTTCACGAGTCAACCGGTCGGCCCGGTCGGCGCGGCAATCGCCCAACAAGAAAAGCACGTGAGCACACAAACTTCTTGTCTTCATTTCCTTGCCTCTTTCACGAAGCTCGCTCGCCCTGCGTGCTGCTGCTGGGAACAAATAAAGCAGTCCCATGATTAAAAAAACAAATACGCCGGCCGGCGACGTATAGGCGATGGGCGTGTAGATGGCGGAACTCACCAACCATCTTGAAAGGGTTGACGTAGCACCAGTTGGCCAACTGTTGGGCCGCGTTGAGCTCCTCACGAGGCTGCAAGATCTTCGACTTCCCGGTGGTTCCATCAGCCCCCACGACGTCGTCGACGATGCCGTACGCGTGAGGGTCGTGGTTGGCCCCGTGCATCACCAATTCTGATCGAAGCAGGTCTTCGATGAGGGGAGGGGGGGGGGATGAGGTGCCGGGAGTGGGGGCCAGGGGGGGTAGTACTCATGAGACTTTCTTCGCCATTCACTTCTCATTTCTGTTGGGGATCACTGCCATCTCAACACCATTTCAAGGGATCGATCGATCAGCTGAGATGGCGGGACCACCGCTATATACCCATGTGCCTACAGTATTGTTCGGTATCAGCATGAACAAGCGCCCCATACCGCTCGGGGCTGTACGATCCGCACGGCCAGCCAACACATCAAGCCGGGGTGTACAACAAGACAAACACACCAGATGAGAAGTCACTCTCACGACCGGGAGCAAACTGAGCATTTTTCTCCCTCAGTCAAACGGGAATGATCCTTCTTTGAAGATGAAATGATAACAGCCGATGCCAACCGCGAAGGCCGGAGACTGACGAAGTCTATAGTGCACGACAACTGCTGCTCTTCGCCTTCAACAAGAAGCCTTCGCGGCCACGTTTTTTCCACTCACAGAAGAGGAAAAACGGAGAAACCGCCAAGGCCGTCTTGGCGCTAACACTAGTTGACTTGCGGAACCTGATCAGAGGACAGACCACCAACACCGGGAGAGACAGGGAGGGCACGCAAAAACAGCAGGGAACATGAAAACGCCGCGGATCAAAAGAAGCGAGAACGTCGGGACAACGCATGGGGGTCAAGACAAGATCAGAGAACCATTTTGGAGCACTGCGGACGTGACCATATGCTGCAGTATTTTACAGTTGTTTCCCGGTCAACAGGTATGTGCGTCCGGCTGGTGGCGTTTGACCTGACGGCGACGTTCGCCGAAGAACACGCGACGGCAGTGGCAATTGGCCAGGAAACGAAGCCGCTGGGGAGGAACGAGTTTCTCTACACTCGGACGTCTACGCCAATGCCAAAGTACTGGAGGACAGAATATCGAAGAATCGCTCGTGGCATGCATAGGGTGATGGGCATGGCGAGTTCCGCGAGATGTGAAGAAAAAAAAGGCGAGCAAGAAAAAAGCTCGTCTGCCAATGATGGCGGTCGACTGAAGTGCAAGGGCTTTGTGTGTGTCCTGTTTCTGGACATCTATTTCTGCACCTTTCCGTCATATGTGCGCCTTTGGAGCCTCGTGGCAATATGACCGCGACAACAAGCACACGGGGCAGAGGAAATCCAGCCCTCGCACACTTTTGAGCTCCGCGGTCACGCAGGTGGAAGGCCACACCGGACATTGTTTTTTCTCGCTTCGCTCCCCTCGACGATCCTCGCATTCTTCATTTGGGTGCATTCGTAGACAATGATTCAGCCACTCCTATCCTTATCTCAACAGTGAACTCGAGTACTGCTGTGTACCCGCGAAAAAATTCATAGATCGCTTGCTCTCCAAGGTGTGCATTGCAAAAACAGAGGGGCTTTACACGCTCGAGACAGGACTGCTGAGGGGATGGATCGAAGTTGCAACATACGGCCAAGATGACGGAGACGGACGGAGCGAAAACTATTGCTTCTCAAAACCACGTTGAAAAAAAGTCAGGTCCCACCTCGAGGTGCAAACTGCTGTACCAACGCTAGTTAGCGAGGGCTCTCTTCGGGATGGTTTTCGGGCATCCCAGGGATGACGCAAAATGGCATGCTGAACACTTTCTCATTATGGGGGGTGTCGTGTGTTTGCGTGCTGGTGGCCCTTGTGTACTGACTGTTCCATACGACGACACCGCGCGCAAGAGGTATTGGAGCCAGCTTAGGCGGACACTTCGCCAGCGAGCTTTGCCCAATTATGGCCAGTTAGTTCAGTGACAACTTCCCACCAACACAACATACATACACCAGGACCACCGCGGTCGGTACCATAGGTACGAGGGCCACACCCCGGTGCGGCGACCGCACAGACGGGGGTTGTGATCGATTTCTGAATCCCGTTTGCTCCGCAACCAACAGGATTGCCGGAAAGGGTGGTTTAGGAAAGGTCTCGTCGAGAGCTCTCCTTGGCATACGCCCGTCGGGTTTGGCACCCTCTGGTTGTGGACCAACCCAACCAATGCTTGGCAATCGGGCGCAGCATCGTTGTGATGATGTGGTCTTCACATCAGTTAAAAACCGTTACGGTCTCTGCTTAGCGCCTCTTATGTCCATACTGGTCCAACTCACGCGGAAGCCTTCCGTGGTCACAAGCCAATACCCACAGAACGGGGGGTACACCTTTCTACATTGTACATAGAAATCAAACAAAAATGGACCCCCAGAAGAGTTCGCCAAGACCTGTGTGCTCGGATACTTTCATCTCAGCAGCATACGTGTGTGCAGAATATGGCGGAAAATAAGGCTCCTAAAAATAGACTTCCAGAAAGAGTGCAGCAGTAGACTCATCGAAGGGACGTCTTGCGCCCAGCGACTCACCACGGGGAAAACTTGTTAGCTGCCACCAGGCCAGCGCAAGATAGTAGCCCCGCTAGCCCCCCAGCTTTCATCCCTGCGTTTTGGGTCCATGCGGCGGGCGCACAGCAGTACGCAGCAGTGTTTCGGCGAGTCAAGAGCGGTGCTCCCGTCTGGAGCTGTTTAGGCGGAGGTAAAACTTCCCGACAGATGGCGCGTGGTACTTCTGCAAGGGGTCTCACCTTCCTCGTGTGCCAAGCGAAGCACACGCCCTCGCTTTTCGGAAGCGTCCATGCCTTGCAGGTGGGCCATCTTGTGAGTCGCAGCGCTAGTTTTTAATGTCTGTGGAGAGGAACCGGGAGAACTGGAGCAATGTGGTGATAGGCTGCTCCATTTCACAGCAGCAGTTACGACGCCCTCGACAAGCCAGCGCGCTGAAACTATACGAGTTCTGAACTACAGTCGTCCTTGCTTTGAAAGCTTTGAAGACATCATTTTTACAAGACATCCCCGCTTTAAGGACACAAAATATCTCAGAAACATGGTGCCCCGCAGATATGAAAAAGTAGAGGGGGTACGATTTTCCACCATTCGACTCCCTCCGGAAATTGCGCTGCAGCACCTGGAGATCCTGGATCATCAACAGCGGTCTGCTGCAGCCGAACGCTGCGTTGTTGTTGTTGTTGTTGTTGTTTCTCACATTAGCTCTATAGTCCACAAAAAATGGGGAGCCCGTGGTCTCAAAACCCGGCACATACGACGCCGCGAGAAAACAAAAAACAAAAATAGGATACAAACCACTCGGAAAAAGAAAACAAAATGATCGAAAGAAAGAAAAGA